TTTGAGAGGAAGCTCAGCTGCTTTATCTTTGGGGAAAATGCACAGACACTATGGGAGACTGTATCTTTAATTCTGTAGTTAAAAGCACCTTACATTGTGCAGTTCTGTGTGTGTATGTGTTTCATATACTTGTTCAACTGGGTTTACAAAATTCTCATTGTTACCTAGCACCTCGTATCAGAACTAATCATTTTACCTCATTCTTTTCTCAAGAAATAAACTTGATTATAGAATGAATTGTGAGCTTTAAAATCCACAGGGTTCAGTATTGTAACATTGTGCACATTTTTCCTTAATTGCTGTTACGGTGCGTGTCTGGATGTCCCCGCAAAGCCTCATGCAGTCATGGGGTGGGCCTCGAGGGTTTGTGACTGATCCATGGTCCAATGCTGGGGTTATGAGTGTAAGTGCTACACCTGCCACAGCGCGGGCAACCTGCATACAATGTGAGGGAGGAAACTAGGCTCGCTCTGCTCCTGCTCCTCCCTTTTTGCCCTTGTTGCTTTTGCTGTCTCTTGTGGCCATGAACTGTTGCCCTCTGCCATGTGCCTCCCTGCCTTGGAGCCAGCTGATTATGGACTGAAACCTCCACAAAGGGTGAGTTTGAATAAAGCTTTCCTCCTTTAACTTTGGGTGTCAGGTATTTTGTCTCAGCAATGAGAGAAAAGTAACCAAGACAAATGCTGACCAATCAACCTGTCCTTCTAAATGTTTATTTGGTGAAAGGAATTTGCATCACATAATTAATAAACATTAATTCGGTGACTACTATATTTTTGGCAGTATGCTAAAGAACATGAAGATAGAAAACAAATCTGCCCTTGAGAAGGTCACAATCTATTAGACCAGAAAATCTCTAAATGTATGGTAATGCTATGGTACATATATTTCCTAAGCATGTATTATGTAAAGTAAATAATTCCCTGAATAATACATCCATATTTACATATGTTGAGTCTGTCTACAATGTAATTGAAATTATTAATAAATTTTAACCTGGGCTGTAAAGGTAATAAACATAAGGGCATGTATTTGAAATTATTTTTTATTTTACAAATTATATTAATTAACTACAATTAGTTAAGGAGATAAGCATGCAATTAATATTTGTTTTATTATAAATGCATCCACATACATAGATGCCCACTAAAAAACTCAGATTTACCATAGTGAGTATGAAATTTTATTTGATGTTGCAATCCTGGCCTGTAATTTATCATACTCTACATTTCTTGATATAAAGACAAATTGCAAAAACTGACTGTGTATCTACTTCTAAACAAGATTTCTGCCGTGAATTTTTGCCCAGGTCTGGGGACACTACACTTTTACAAATGTGCACCTAATACATTATCTCACAAATCTGACTCTGTGTTTTTCCATAGTTAATACAAAAGGAGAAATGAAATGCTGGGGATTCTCTGGGATTCTCTGCAGTATACCTGCTAACCAAGTGGAAGTGTGTATGGTGATCTAATGAAAAGGGTGTCAGGCGTACAGGTAAGGAGAGATAATCAAAAAAGGTTGTATCAAATTTCAAGCCAGAGTAGGAACTAGTCTTCTTTGGGCTTCTGTTCCCTGTTTCAGGAGACCAAATGATTGGACTAGAAGTCTCCTGTTTTCTTCTAGGCCTGAGTCTCTGGGAGTCAGTGACAAGCGGCACCCTTAGAGGGGATATTCTGCAAAAGTAACGCCTGGTTGCGCCCGAGTCGCTGAAAATCGCCTACTGGAAAGCCCATACCCCTAGTGAGATCCTTTTAGTATCGATAGCTCTCAACTCCCTCAGCATCACACCTCACACGCATTCCTTCATCAATGGTCCAAAATGCATTTGTATTAAGGAATACCAGCAAGTAACGGCATCCACCTCAAACAATACAAATGCAAATAACCTGACCGGAACACCTAGTTTGTGGGGGTGGATTTTCAGGACTTGCTGTCAGCTATGTAGCTTCCTGGGGGGAAGAAAGCAGGCTGCCAGGTGTTTGTGCCTCGTGTTTTCCTAAAAGCAAATACAGAAAAATGCACATTGTTCTTTTAACAGTAATTTACGAGGCTGGCAATGCTTGGAAGAAAACGTATGGTTTCTGGGTTCTGCTGTAGAGACTACCTTTTCCTCACCAGTATTCAGGATCTGTGGTTTACACAAAATGAAGCATATCTCTTCCATCTACAGGGCTGGTGAACAACAGGCCAAAGCAAGCCTGTAGGATCACAGATGGGTTATTCAGTTCAGTCACAGACATTCTCCTCTCCAGCAAAGAATCCTGCTGTCCCTCTAACGCACTAATATCATTCCTCTGGGTTAAAGTCTGATTTCTCCGCTTCTCATAAACATAGATTTGGTAAATGCAAATGTAGGATAAACTTTGCATTCAAAAACAAGCCACAGAGTGGCTTGTTTCAAAGAAATAGAGTGAGAAATCATTTTCTCTTGTATCTGTTTTCCCAAGGTTTCTCACCCCTTTGCAGAATGAGATTCCAGGTTTAGAGACATTAAGAAACCAGTAACCAGGGGACCCGTTGCCTGGAAACGGCCTGATTACAACCAACTCACTCAGCTAAAAGGAAATTCTACCTGATCCTTTAGGACCATTTGTCAAGCTTCATTATAATGATAAAGAAAATTTACACTTTCGTAAAGCCTTCAAAAATTATTGCCATGAAAGTGAAAAATCTGGGCATCTGCTTTGGGGAAGAAATGGGAAATTAACATGACTATCCGGTGTCAAAACTGACAGCCCAGACAAAATAAAGAAAAATGAGATCTCCACCACGCACACAATTCAGAAATCAAAAATCCGGATCCGGGGCCGAACAAATCATGTCTGGGAATTGCGCTCTCTGCTAAGGGAGCAAGAAGCCAGCACCGACAGGATGGACTAACAAAGGGCATTTGTATTCTGCTGCAGTACTGATTCACTTGTGCTTCCTTGCACATCTGCAGCAGAACTTCCAATCTGATGCTGCTGTTAACAGCTGCTTTGGGACGCACACCCGTTGGATTTGCTGTGTCCTGACAGGTGGACAAGATTTGTCAGGGCAGTAACATTACAGCAACGCTGCAGAAGTTTGACGAGAATCTAAGAATGTTTGTAATTCTTTTACATTCTTAATGACTAGTCTCAGGAAACAGGATGTATTTTATACTTTATTGGAATAGGTTTTTACAGCTACAAAATTGTATTTATGTCTGAATATATATAGAGAAGAGGGAGAGGGAGGAGGGGCTACTCCCTTCCACAATGGCGTGAATTATCTGGATGCATCAGTGAATCCAGGCTCTGTTAAGCTCTATCTTGCTATTGATGCACTGATCCACCCACAGTTACATTAGACTAAGGTGCATAACCAAAGGCAGCTCAAATGTGGTTTTGGACCTATCCTAACCTGGGATTTACCACTGATTAGACTCATGGTTAATTTTTAGACACACTAGTAGAGTACAAAAATGCAAGCTTTGGTGAAACTCAAATATAATAGTTTTCAATTAAATTTTTTAATATCCAATTTATGAAATATATCTGTTGCTTAATTTCCAAAAATTATTTTAAAATCATTTATTGATGTATGACTGGCCAGAATATTCTTTAACTATAGGTAAATGCTCAAAATTCAAGGGCAAAAGATCTGAGCAGAGATTTATATAGAAGCAGAGTAAAGTTTCTGCCTTTAAAGTTATGGTAAATGCTGTTGGAATGAAACCACTTTTACTTTAAGGAGGCCGGTTCTGCACCCTGCAGATACTGCATGCACATCCACAGGGCTCTCCAGCACGGCTCCGTAGCAATGCACACACCCTCTACACTCCATGTTTCAGAGAATATATCCTTGAATCTGCAGCCTTCGTTTTAGACTTGTAGCAGACTGGACACTCATCAAATCTTTGCTGAACAGAACTGAACAAGACACTGACATCATCAAATACCTGACCTGCTACTGCAGGGCTGACAGAGACAAACACTCCCAGAAAGAAATGCGGAGCACAGCACGGTGTGGGAGGAGCTGCGGGGAGGTTACGGCAGAAAACAAAGAGGTCTCAAGAAAGCCTCTGAGGATCTTCGCTCCCGATCTCCACTGCCGATCTCCACATTTTACGTATTACTGTCAAGATTATTCTTAAAGATTACAATAGTTCCCCCCCTCCCCAGGAACTTATGACAAAAGAATGAATTAATCAGTTAACTAATAAAATTATTCTGCCATCCACAGACATAGCATTTGGTTTCCTATACAGAAATAACACAATGCTCTTAATAAAATGTGAGTTCAGACAAAAGCCAAGATGGTGTGAGCTGATCTGTCCATAGAAATTGCCTAGTAAAAGAGGAATCTGAACCAGATACACTTATTTTAATGAATGAAGGTGTATTAAAGGTCAGGCTGGGGATATAGCTCAGTGTCACAACACCTGCTTCACAAGCATAAGGTTCTGAGCTTGATACTGGGTACCAAGACAAAAAAAGAAAAAAGGCCTTTTCCAGGTTAGTTAAGGAGCAAAAACACAGAAATGAGACTGCATTAGGAATATAGCAAAGATGAATTTAAAGACAGATTATTGATAAGAATAACAGCTTTGGTAAGAACCTTGAGCATTCTACCCTTGAAGAAAGTATAAAAAGAACACTGTGAGGCTCTATGAATGCTGGTATCGAGGCATTTGTAGAACAGGTAGCCTGGGACATTCGTTCATTAGGAAGGTATTTCCTTTTTAATCTCTACCTCACCTCATCCTAACCACTGACGATTAAATACCAAAGAGAATTCTTGTCCTGATAAAACACGAGGGAAAGTGGGGTGGGTTCAGGTGCAAACAAAACAGCAAGTAAGTGGATAATAAAAAGTCAGGTGGTGACAACTGCTGAAACAGTATTACAGTCACAGACAACATGTAAATACATTCTTAAACATTAAAACTTTACCACACCCCATCCCAAAAATCTAGAAATCGCAATTCTCGCTTACGGGACTGAGGCATAGCTTTTTCTCCTCACCAGATCTATAGACAATCTACAGACAATCTACAGACAACCCAACAGAGCTCCTCCTGTGCTTTCACCTGTACACAATGCCAGGGCCCAGCTGGACCGAAAATGTGGGTATTTCTGGGTTTGTGTCCACCAGGACATGAGGGAGGATATACTACAGAGTTCTCAGAGCACTTTGCACACCATCTGAGATCAGGTGATGACAGTGAAGACGAATTACTCATTAAATACACCAGGTAATGTATATATAATTATGCTATAAGCTACCTAAAATAATAAAATAATAAAACTCATAAAATAATTACATAAAATAATAAAACTCATGACATATATATATATATATATATACATATATATATATATGAACTTAGAAGTAAAAAAAGATCAGATAGCAATGACCTAAAATGAGCTTTATAAAAGAATTACAAAGGAAGTCAGGGACTATGGTGACATATGATTCTTTTTAAAAAGGTCACTTGTATCCGTGCTTTTCTAGTCACTGAGTTCTTTAAATTCTGTTCCTATCCATCCTTCATCGTTGATCAAATTTTCCATATCTCAGGTATCATCCCGCAAATGCAGCCAATGCCAGTACAGTGGAAACGTCCACACATGGAAGGAGGAGGTCCATGGGAAGGCTGCGCTCAGGGAGGCTGCAGGCGTTCAGTGAGACATAGGAGGGGGAAGTTAAACTTCCACACCCTACAGAGACAAAAGGGACACCCTTGTCCTCACACAGGCAAAGATCAGAAAAACTACTTGGCGATATGAGTACAACAGTTTGCCTTCTTACTGTACTTCATTTTTGGTAAAACTTTATTAGAGCCTAGTAACAAAGTTTGGTGCAACCATTGCACCTAATTCATTTCCTTTACTCTGAGAGTATTTCTTGTTTCTATAATCTGGTAATTTGGGCTCTACAATATGCTAATATTTCTCACTGCCATGACTCATGATAGCGCTACCTCTGCAGCCATCATTGTATTACATGCAACCTTGTATTATCTCTGTCTCCTTCATTCTACCTATGGAGCACCTTCGACCTTTGCCCAAAGGGTCTCTTTCAGATCTTACACCGGATTGTGTTCCTGCAAGGTAGTTCTTAACATTCACTGCTATTTTCCAACAAGACACAGAAGGAGGACAAAAGGTTAAATTTTTTCACAAGCAAGCCTACATTCCTATTGCTTTGTAGGAGAGGAAAACAAAAATGCTGCCAGATAGAAGACTGAAATAAATTATTTGCACCACTCATAGCCAAATTCTACCTCTTTTTTCCAGAATGTTTCATAAAAGAATCAATGAAAGTTGCACCTGAAACACTGGTGCAGTACACCAGCTATGATCAGGGCGTTCCGGAGGTGATCCTATGTTCTCAGAAGCTCTACATGCAAATCCCTTCAACTTTGCTCAGGGGGATGAGCTCACCGCAGAAATTGTCCTGGTTTTTGACCTCAAAATCCAGGTAGGTCAGGGCTGGGGGTGGCTGAATCAATGACAGGGAAGCCTGCCCGGCCTTTTGTTCTAAATTGAGGCACGCTGGCAGAAGACGAGGGCGAGGGTGAGTTTTCATGGCCCTGAGCTCAGTCACACAGCTGGAGTCACACTTTGCTCAACGCACACATCTTTGACTCACCCACAAGCGACGCAAACTAGGAGAGATGGCTGCTGGGAACAAACAGGACCTGAATCAGCGGCTATCCTCATGATCTGGGCTACCCAGTAAGGTCGCCCCATACACCCAGCTGAGGAGCTACCCTTCACATCAGCTGGCGCTTCCCTATGACCACACGTTTAAAACCATCCATTAGGGTGTAATGAAGACCAAGTGAGGGAAAGTAGTACGAAGCTCATATTTCTTTTTTTTTTTTTTTTTTTTTTTTTGAAGCTCATATTTCTACTCAGGGAGATTTTAAAAGTCACATCATGAAATGCTCACTCCCATGTTAAAATTTCATCACCATCCCTTAAGGCGCATCATTTTGAAAAACAAAGATGAAGACCACAAAGGGGAACAGACTCAATTTACTGAAAAGCACCAGATATTTGCACAGAAGCACCTCAACAGAAAAGGTAGGCTTGTACAATTAAACTGTAAAGTCATTTAATGCATACTAAAATACAGGATATCTCAGGTTTTTTAACCTTACAGAATTATCTGAATTATCGCAAAACAATGTTTGTGTTCGTGTGACACATTTTTAAAAGTGCAGATCTTTGTTCTTGAGGCTACATCTTAACTGGTTGTGGATGAGCCTTGAAAACATGCTTGGAGGGCTGGGGATTTAGCTCAGCGGCAAAGCGCCTGCCTGGCAAGTGCAAGGTCGTGAGTTCGGTTCCCGGTACTGGAGAAAAACCAAAAAAAAAAAAAACAAAAAAAACATCCTTGGTAAAATAATGTTAAAGCAAACTCCTCCACATGACAAATGTTATATGAAAACCACCACGAAGAGAAGTGTAAATTACATAGAACTGGTACATAAATTATCAACTGACTAGTCTGTGCATTTAATACATATTTCAGAACACTTTCTCAGGTTTTATAAGAATCCTACTTTGAAAAAGCAGACCATTACACCGACTTAGAGCCCCAGTGGCCGAAGCCCTCCTTTCTTTTGAAAGCTCCAGGACAGTGAGGGTGCATCACCTTGCTCCTCACCTCCCACTTATGAGATCCTTGCTACGATGAAATACTATACTCATGGATACGTCTCTCCTCATCTCAATCACAAATGAATTTTCTGAACTAAGTCCCTGTGATCTAAAATGCATCAGTCAAACAACAAGTAAGCAAAAACTTTGCACACGTGCATATTCCTTTTGATTGTACAATTTTCTTTTCTGGCTTGGTCCTCGCTGTCAGGAACACCTATGCACAAGAACTTTGCCTCTCTTTGCCTCTGATGCATCCCTGCTTTACACACAAATGAAACAGAACACAAGCACTCTAATTCGGCTCATTACAGCTTCAAGATGGTCTGTCTGACTGCGTGGTAGGCATGTCTCCGTCTCTGTATTTCGAGCTCTATCCCAGCTCTCACATAACGCAGCCTACCAGGTAATAACGCAGCATTCCCCTCCGAATACGGTTCCCAAACAGTGGCAAATTGTTCCTTTATCAGGTGAGGCCCCAGAAAACAGCCTGTATGTCAACAGTGCTGTGTTTCCCTTGCTTCTGTGCCATTCTCATGATTTTTCCTCTGAGATAATCTCATCACTTCCCTAGATTTATGTTTCTCAGTGTAGACTTCAGAGAGATTTCTTATTTCTGTGTTTTCTGTTATGATCTGGGGGAAAAGGCTACAGTAACCATTAGTAAGCAAGTGGAGTCCTCTTCCCACTAACATATACATTGAGAATTTCTCAGTTCTAAAAGTTTGTAACTTTGCAGATAAAACTACAAGGATTGCAACTGTTTATTGAATTTTATCTTCAAAAATACAAGAGGTTGGGGGGCTGGGGATTTAGCTCAGCTGCACAGCACCTGCCTGGCAAGCACAATGTTGTGAGTTCAATTCCCGGTACCGGAAAAAACAAAAAACAAAAAACAAAACAAAACAAAATACAAGAGGCTGATTATTGATGGAAATTCTCTAGGTTCTGCTGAGGTAGTTGCTATCAAAGGGCCAAGTAATTATTTAATAAATGAACTGAAAAAGAGAAAAATGTCTTTCTTCCACAGGAAAACTTTGCTGCAGTGTTCATGTTCGCACTTCTGTTTTAACTCAGATATTCTGGCACCTTGTGATCCCCTGTGTAATAGGTGACCCTCTCGCTTAGACATCCCCACTTCACGCAGGGCGACTCTGCTCTGAGGGAGTGGGGTCATCCCTGAACACGCCCTGTGTAGCTGCTTGCAGTGTGGCTGTAGGTACTGTAATAAGAAAACTTCACAGTCGGACCTCTGGGTGCTTCAAATCTAAGAAGAAATACACTGCAGGATATTACTGTTGGCCTAATGCATTATGGGCCATTTAAAGTAATACTATGCCCTGTCCTCCCCCCGCCCCATCAGGAATCGAACTCACAAACTCATGCTTGCCAGGCAGGCACTGTGCCACTGAGCTAAATCCCCAGCCCCTAAAGTAATACTCTGAGCAAAGGGTCACTTTGACAGTATTGACAACAACATACATCCCTTCCCATTTTGGCTTAGACTGCATCACTAGACACAAGTTTAAAGAATTCCAAGAAGAACTCCCAAATAAATTTTAGTATATGTGCTGCTGAAGCAAGCACAGTAATAAATTTTAACATAAATTTTGGATGCAAAATTTCGAGACCCAAAACACATGTTTTAGAGAATGATTTACTATAAAAATTATTTGATCCACACTTCTTTTAGATAACACATTTTTGGGTAGGTTTATTCAGTGAATTAAATGATATGTGGTCACTCACGTAGAAAACCGACGTGGCTTCAGGGTTTGTCAGGAACACTAGGAATGCACAAAGGGAGGCCCCGTCTGGCTAGATTAGCGTCTAGGCTAATCTCTGAGAGACCTTTGATTTTAGAGCATTCAAAACTGTTTAAAAGTTGCATGAACTTTTTGAGCCACTAATGGTGACTTCTCCATCTCATTACACATCTCATGTATCGACAACAGCAGAAATATTTTACCAAGCCAACTGTATGTATTATATGTAACACGAGAGTTGTATATATAAACTGTATACTACACATGATATACATAAAAACCTGGGGTGACAGACAATACTTAAAGTCACACGAAAAGCCAAGTAAAACAAGTTTTCATCTTCATAGAGCCAAACCCAGGATTCCCCAGGGCACTCAGGTACAGCTCCGGGAGCCAGCTCCTCCTGCATTGGCACCCCTTCCACCTCCTGGTCAGTACCCAGTATCTTCCCCCACAAGGGCCAGTGCCCACTGACCCGAGTCTCACCCAAGGAAGTGAAATACAGCCACGTTAGGTCTGGAAGGGCAGGGTTACACGCTGCAATGGATGGTTTAAATGACCATTTGTTTTGTCTTATGTCTGCTTGACAAAACACATAGCCAGTCAATTTTCCTCCTACTAGAATTAGTTTTCTTGTTGTTGTTTTGTTTTGTTGTTTGAGTTAGGAGGTCATCTGCATACTTCCAGACAAAGGTAACAATGTCAAAGGATGAAAATGTTTACTTTCTGATGGCAAATATTTGGTTGGTAAGTACACAGGGTAGAGATCCAGTTAGGTAATGATTACATATAGTGCTTAAATTAACTGCCAAGAAAAGCCTCCAAGAGATAAATTGCCTTTCTGCAACATCATCTTCAATGTGTTTACTTAGCAAATGGGATATGAAATTTAGGAACATTAAACAAAATCAGGTAAAATGTTATACCATACAAGTTTCCTTGGTCAAAGAAAAACTTTCTATGATTAGTTTAATATAAATATTCTGAGGTTCACAAGGAACCCTTTTGCAAGACTCAGTTGATTTAGGGGATGGCTTACAGATAGGAATGACAACCTCCTAACAGCACTTAATAATCAGGGATGTGTTCAACACTGAGAAATCTAACCCATCTCAAGAACATCCTGACACAGCTGGGACTTTGGAGAAAGTATGGAAGCTAGGACTAAAATGTAGTGACCCAGGAGAAAAAATTTCCACAGCACAGTCAGGTGGCTACAGCTCAGAGAAATTTATGTAATTTATAGAGAGACGGAAGAGAGGAGTTCAAAGTTTCCTGACACAATAAAGTAATACATGTTTAAGGACACAGACATGCTACTTATTCTGGTTAGATCACTACACACTGTGTACATGTACTGCATAGACTTGTGCGAGCAAAAGTGACACCATAACCCGTACTGTGTTCATCAGCTTTTCACTGCTGTGACAAAACACGGTGAAAATAACATTGGCTCACAGGTTTGGAAGTTTCGGTCCATGGTCGGCTGGCTCCAAGACGGAAACATCTTGACAAAAGGGCACAGCAGAGCCGCTCCCTGTAGCCCAGCCAGGAAGCACAGGGAAGGAAAGCACCCCAGAGAGGGGCGGGCCAGAGCTCAGACACAGCGTGTGAGAGCCGCACGCCCACTCCGCACACCCTTCCGCGAGGCGCGTCTCCTAAGTTTCCCTCACTTCTTAATAAATGAGGATCTCACCCATGGATTAATCTATGATGAAATTAGAGCCCTACGGACCAATCACCTTCCAAAAGCCCCACCCCTGCACACATGAGACTCTGGGGGACATTTCAGGTCTAAGCCGTGACACCTACATTTAAAGTATTTCCTTTGAAACCAGCAAATAGTACATAAAATCTTCTTGACTAAAAACACAACATTTGTAATGCACATGCCCAGTACATCAGCAGCCTTAGATCTGCCCAGTAAAAAAAAGAAGGAAAGAAAAGAAATTACATATATATATGTTTTATGTATTTACTTATTTATGAAAATTTATTTACTTTGGTAAGGGACTCAAACTCATGACCTTACATTTGCCAGGAAGGCACTGTTCTGCTGAGTTAAATCCCCAGCCCCTGTTTTATGTTTTTAGAAATAAGGAAAAACAAGAAAGGTAGCATTTTATGAAGATTTCTTTGTAATACACTTTTTTTCACTTGTATCTGAACGCCTTTCCATGGCACTAAATGCACTGTTACAATATTTAACTCATAATATAATTTTCAGTTTCTTCTTGGTGTCCTATTATGCAGACAGTCTATGAATTATTAGTCATTACTATTGCATATCTAGGTTACTTTTATTTTTGTATAAATAAAATGGCAACCATTATGTTACATTAATTTACTATGTAATCTCTGATTATTTACTTAATTCTACAATTCTCAAATTCTGATCATTGGTCTCTTTAAAATTATCTTCCCAAAGACTAAAGTTTATATTCATTCCACCATCAACGGGTTACCCTTGCTTTATGCATGTTCTTTTCAATACTGAGGAAGTTGCAATATTTTTCTGTTCAGTATGCTCATAATTTATTTGCCTTTATTTTCATTGCTCTTTGAACACCAATTTAGTTGAAATTTAAAGTCTGTTTATTAAGCACTTTTTAAATTATCTGAATGATCTTCCATTAAATTGGTGGCTGTTTTTTTTTTTTTTTTGGTACCAGGGATCGAACCCAGGACCTTGCGCTTGCCAGGCAGGCTCTTGTGTCACTGAGCTATATCTCCGGCCCTTCTCCCATTAAATTGCAATGAATTCACTTGAAAGCTCATTTTTGTTTTCCCAGTAACCACCCTGTGGGTTTCTTCTCTTCACTACTAGGAAGTGTCTGTGCATAGGGCGTTCGGGCACACCTAATGTGCTTCTGCTGATGTTGATTTCCAGCCAAGCGCTTCTGTACAGCCTGTATCACAAACTACTACAACAAAACAAAACAAAACAAAACAGCCAAACCTAGCACCCAAAGAAGAATAGCCTCATCTCCTGATTTTCAGCCAACACAGGGATTTTGTTAAATCATGAATGTGGCGGAGACTCTTGGTTCCATGGGGACCCTTCTGTTAATTTTGGCACATACTTGAGTTTCCTGAAGGTCTTAGTCTTTGACTCTTCAAACTATGCAGCTGCATCCTTGGCTAAGCCCATATCCTTGGGGACTGAAACAAAATCATAAATTGCACTGTTTTCTATTTTGTCTTAAAGAGTATCATTCCTTGAATCCTGCAGATAAATTGCAGATGCAATGAGAACTCTATGAGGAAAAGGGGTGGTATGAGTTGAACAGCATTCTCTACCTTTCCTCAGGGCCTGGGGATTTAGCTCAGAGGCACAGCAACTGCCTGGCACGCGCAAGATCTTGAGTTCACTTCCCGGTACTGAAAAAACAAAAAACAAAAAACAAAAAAAACCCAAAAAACATAAAAAAAATGAGCTCTACCTTTCCTACACTGTGACCTCTATTAGTGAACTACTACTCAGAACACTTCTCCCTCTACAACGCGGGCTATGAAAACCACTCAGTAACACACATAGTGAGTCACTGTTCTTCACATATGCACATGGTTCTGCCTTTCCACGAGTGGGAAAAACTCATGCTGGAACCCCAGTCGCGGACATATTCATATTCCTTCCCATGTTTATCCTCTTACATTGTCCGCAGGACTAATGTGGCTATCATGGACAGGAAATATATCTGTTACCATTTCACCCATGCATCCAGGCAAAAAGGTGGAATAAACACGTGTTTCTTATTCTTCACCCAATATTCTGACTCATATTTAAAGAATACCTTCTGCTTTTCTCAAAGGTGAAGTGACAAATATTTAAAGCTTCACAGAATTAGGCCTGATGCTGAGATATCAGACTTGGTAAACTTCTGGACAATGACATTTAGGCAACACTAAGATTTTGCATCTAAGGTACTATGCGTGAATGGGAGGAAGGTGAGCTAGGGAGAGTGAGTGACAGCTTCTTACACAAATATGTTCCTGTGTGTCTGACATGCTGCTAGGCAATAGGGTATAAAAGAAATCATAAACACACCTTAACATTTTAGTCAGACTCAGATACAGAAGCAAACACTTTCACTATGTCATCACAAGTGATGTGCACAAGGTTCTCTGGAAGCAGTCAGGAGGTTTACTTGGTTTTTAGGGACAAGGCTTCTCGAAAAAGGTATGTTATGAGTCGGGTGTGGTGGTGCACACCTGTAATCCGAGCACTCAGGAGGCTGAGGCAGGAGGATCCTTGGGAGTTTGAGACCAGCCTGGGCTACAAAGTGAGCACAAGGCCAGCCTAAACTGCATAGAAGACCCTGCCTCAAAAAAACAACAAAAAAAAAAAAAAAGAGAGAAAGGTATGTTATGGTTTAGCTCTAAAATGCACCCCAGTGTCTCATGTGTTTGGAAGATGACTGATCCCAAGGGTGCTATAATCTGTTGATAAATTCACAGCTGAATATGCTCATAAGTGGTAGTGCATGGTTAAAGTCAGGTCACTGGGGTGTGAGTCTGAAGGGTATATTCTTGTCCTCAGCTCCTCTTCTCCTTTCTCTCTCCCCTCCTTCCTCCTTCCCTCCCTCCCTCTCTCTCTCTCTGCTTCCTGGGTGCCATGAGTTGAGCACCTGTTCCCTGTCATGCCCTTCCACAGTGCTGTCTCTTCCTCGAAGACACTGACCATGGACTGAGCCCTCTGAAACTGAAAGCCAAAATAAACCCCTCCTCCTGTAAGTCGTAGGTATTTTGTGCAGGGACAGGAAGCTGACTAATACAATACCCCCTTGCAGACAATTCTCGTGTAGGTATGATCTCGGAGAAGAAAGTGGATGGTGACTCATGTAGCAGAAATGAAAGCATGGAAAAGCACAGTAAGTGCAAGCAAGCACGCCAATGTGTCATGACTAAAAGGCTTGGAGCAGGGAGCCACAGAGAAAACTTGGACAGACTTAGAGGAAGAAAGCATGGAAGACAGTCAACACATACAAAAAAATTAAAATATAATCCATGTGTAATGAATCATCAAAGAACTTTAGAGCTGAGTGTGACCAGATCTTCTACACTTTCGAGGCTGGTTTGTCAAGGATGGGAGGGGTTATATTCACAGGCAAGGTACGAAGGAAGACGCTAAGGAAACAGTATCTAAAAGCTACAGTGGGAGATCAGGTAAGGAGACAGCAACAGGCATGATGGGAGGGCCTGTGAGGGGAGCACTGCAGAAACAGTGTGACCCTCTCCTCAGGGACACATGATGGGCATGCACATGCCAGGGTGATGAGGACACAGCTGCGTCCTCCCAAAATCAGTATGTTGAAGCACTAATTCCCAGTGCCACTGTATTTGGTGACAAGGCCTCGAAGGTAGGAACTGAAGTTAAATGAAGTTGTGTCCTCATGATAAAAAAAAAAGAAGCAACACAGAGATTGCTGTTTTCACAGGCACACAGAGGAAAATCACATGGAGACACAAGGAGATGGTGGATGGCTGTCAACAGGGACAAGAGTCTTCTCATGAGCGCTGATCACTCTTGACCTTGGACTTCCATCTCTACAAAGAGAAAAAGTCAGTTCCAGCTGCTTAGGGGATCTGTTCTGTGGTACTCACTATGGCGGCCTCAGCCTGCGGATGTGAAGATTTAGGAAGGCAAATAAGAAAAACCTACAGAGCAGAAGAAAATCAGTGAGGCAAACCAGGTCTACGTGAGCAGAGAGCCTGAGGAAGGTCCTGGCTGGCAGCCGCGCAGGAGGAAACGTGACATTCGGGAGTTCCTGTGTGAGAAGGTTCTGAACAAGGAGAGATGGATCCGAGTTACTGAAACCATTCCAGAGCCAGGACCGGACCAGGCAGGCTCACCTCCAACTCTCCAGGTTCTTACAATCTGTTCCCATTGCTACAGCCCACTGCTTGTGCGTCCTCTTCTCCGTGTGTTGTACCAGCCATTCCCCACCTCCTGCTCTGCTCTCAGTTCCAGCTGGCCTTTTACCGCGCGCTTTTCATCTTTCCTCACTGTAACCAAGTACTTTACCAGAAACTTAAGGAGAAGTTTACTAGGCTCACGGTTTTGGATGTTCGAATGCATCATCAGCTGGCTCCAGGGCAGAAACTCCACGGCACAAGTGCGTGCTGAGCAGAGCTGCCCACCTCACGGTAGCTGGGAAGCAGAGAGAGAGAGGGAAGGGGGCTGGGATCGAACACAGCCCTCAAGATCACACTCCTACCACCCACTCTTAAACAAGGCCTCATGTGTTAGTCTCCATTATCCCGCAGTACTGCTACCAAAGTAAGAGCCATCAGCTGGTGAACCCGCTGGGGAACTTACAGCCCCCACCTCCCATCACCTTCCCGGAAGGCCTGTCCGTGAACACACCGGAGCTCGGGGGACATTTCAGACATAAATCATGACATACTCGCACTCAGACTGCCAGAGGAGAGAGGAAGAAGGCGGGCCATACGAATGGGCATAATGGAAGCACTGACTACACTTTGAAGAGGTCTTGGGAGGTGTGTCGGTAGGCCAAGGAGATTCTGGAAAGTACATATAACCTGCAACAGGTATGTAAGACATGAGTAGTTTAGCAAGCCAAATGGTAACACTAGGAAACAACTCATCCCCATTATAAGAGCCATCTATGCAGGGGGGAAGTGTAGCATGATGCTGTTACTAAACAAAAAAGGTGCTCTTTTGAGAATGACTCCATTAAAATCTGTTTTATTCACCTCTGTAACAGACTGGCTCAGTTTCAATGTCAAACTGCAGAAGGCTTTATCCACACTCTTGGTGTCCGCCAACTGTGAGGAAAGCAAGCCATTTTTGTTCAGCACCTGCCAAAGCAAGGCCTGGGTCTGGGGCAGCATTTCATAAATGCAGCGAATGAAAAGTACCGACCCTTCTTTTACCTCTATGCCATTACGGGCCATCAAGCTGAAGACAAGTAAGATTATAGAATGTAGACAATTCTTGTAGAAGAATTGGCAAGTAGATTATTCTTCTGCCTGCTTAAAAATAGTTTCAGCTTTGATGTGAGGAATACGACAGCCTGTGTGTGTGTGCGGGGGTATGAGAGAGAAAGCAAGGAAGTTTGTGAGGCAGTTTCCCCCTTTGTTTTCCACATTAATGCATTCCACCTGTGCTTTCAGCATCCAGATGCTATCATACTTTAATTATAATGATTAATGTCTGCATAAGAATTATAAATGGTAAACCAAGCTTCCCTCAAATTAGCTAAGTCAGTCTGCTTAAAGGCAGAACAGAGAAATAGGACACCAGGCTGAAATCATGTGAGAGATGGAAACGTCTTCATTTGTGCCCGTTCCTGCGCTTTTAATTAAAGGTGACAGGACAGCCCTTCACTAGCCGTGCAGCAAGCACAGTGTGCAAAGATGAGTGCGTCTACAGCTGTGGGCAGTGGTGCTATTTTAACGTCACTACTTTCACTAGTGGAAAAACATCTGTGGAAAATAAGAGGTGCAGGTAGTTGTCATAATGAAACTAGAGAAAGACGTCAAAGGAAATACTGTTGCTTTGTAACTGAGAGCTTCACACTTGCCCTGACCAGAGACTGCAAGTCCTCTCCGAAGCAGCTCACAGCTGGTCCAAGTGTCACTCCTATGGCCATCTGGTAAAACCAACCCAACGAACAAAAACCAGAAAAACCTCTAACTTTATCAAGTAAGTTAAAGTAGAATAATTTTCTCCCTGATCACTCATTTGGGAAAAAGCAGAGAAAAAATATCCATTTTTTAAAAATGCAAGGCTTCCTAACAATCCCCAAATGCTGAGAACCACAGTGTAGTTTCTTTTCAGAGGGGTGGGGACTGCCAAAAGCGCCATCAACCTGCTCTGAAACTCTCTGAGCCCACTAACTCCCAGGCTCTTGCTGGAAAATGGAGATCTTGACACTTTTCAGCATGTCATAAAACTTAAGTGACATAAGCATTATGAAATTTTCCATATAGTGATCTTCGGTGATGTTGTAGAGATAGCATCTTAAAATGTTTTGTGCTACAAAATATGAGGAAGTCGATAATGCATTTCATCCTTTATCTTATCTACATCACCTTCGTCCTCCATCTTTTATAGGACTTTGCCAAGAGCTTTCCGTTGACAGGGCATCAGTGGCATACAAGAGTTCCACAGCAAACTTGTTTATGAGTTTAGTGCTCGTGGATGGGACCCATGTCACCAGTTTATATTTCTAAACATCACTGGCCCTTATCTCCAACCTAAAAGTACCAGCGTGTGTGTGTTGGGGAGGGAGGGCAGGGGGAAAGGGCAGAGCTAACATAAAGGATGCCAGTTAGATAAAGATGTTTTAAATAATTTCTTACTTTCCAGAAGGTTATAATTATAAATGTACATCTTATATACATTTTATCTTTATATATAAATATAGAGAGCTATCTCTTCATATACTTATTGCTTGGACCCAAAACCTGTTTCACGGAGGCAAGTTCCTCCACATACAGGAAAGAAGAAAGAGGGCAAATATAACATGCCTGTGACATCCGAGAAGACTCCCTTCTGTTAAATGCAACCGTGAACGACACGGCTTCACAAGGATTCATTGAAGCCTCATCTTTCAAGCTCAGTGTAAGTTTAAATAGATCCCAGCTCCATTCAATCTCAGCTCAGGGCAATCACAACTGTAACTAACGCCTACGTCTTTCATCTTTTGACAATGAAATTAAAATATTGCTTCATGCTACGGTGGAAGAGAACACTCTAAAATAAATAATCCCGAAGTTGAAATAAAACTGAAAATAACAGCAGCACCTTCCTGCAGCAGTAGGAGGCAAGGCTGATGAATGGAAGCTTCTCGTGCAAACTGAACGAACGCGCTGATTTTGAAGGAAGGTGGAAGGAGACTGAGTTACTCCACGGACAGCAGGTAGTTCAGAAAGGAAGCCAAAATGAACCAATGTAAATAAAAGGAGTGATTATTTTCTGAAAGGAAGGATACACTAGGAAACTCAGTCAGAAGAGTGAAGTATTTACCTGAGATACCCCATTTCAGAGAAGTTATGGAAATCAAAGGCATTCCTGAGCACATAGTGGACAGAGATTGTTTTGGAACAGTAAATTCTCCGTGCTCTTGGTCTGGAATCCTTGAGGCTTGAAACTTCATCTCTTAAGTCGATGGTTAAGTCTGCCTTTACCACGCCAAGCAGCACCCGTGTTTTCAGCATAACGGCATCTGTGTGGGTGCTCCTGGCATGAGCCCCAGTGCCGGCATCAGCCTGGAAGGCTCTGTGATCTGCCTGCCTAGTTATGAGGCCGGCCTCGCTAGGCTAACACAGCTCCTTCCTCTACTCACTGTTCGTCTTCCTTGGACAATTTAATCTTGCTCCAAAGACATCGGTGACTCTGGAATTGGAAGGTATCTAATGACTCAGTAAGTCTGACCATCTCCTTACATTACTTGAGTCTTCCTTTCCCCTGGGCTTTTTGCCCTCTAGATTTTGGATTCATAAAACAACCCAATTCCCATCTACTCATTTTCCACTGCATAAATAAAAACAAAGCCAAAGTCATTAGTGAGATGCTATTTTCAGATATTATTACTATGTTATCCATTAAGAAAACTTATTCTTCTTTGGTGGGAAACCTGGTAAAATAAATCCTGGTAACTGAGTTTTGGTATGTTTTTCTACAACAGATAAAAAGAGGAAAACAGAAAACCGAACCAGGATTTGTGTGATTACTTATTTCAGCAGGAAATGGAACAAAAAATTGGTTAAAAACTGTCAAAAGTAAGATATGTACTACTAGTGTATGTAACTAAGAGCAAACGCTTTGGAGAGTTCAGCTTTATCGCTGAATGTGAATGTGACTGCTTTACTAAAAGTGGAATTGGAAATGGAAATATTCCCCTGTGGGACAGAGACAGTCAAAACGGTAGAGTAGATTCCAAACTACTTTTCACAAAAGAAGCAGAAGAAAACAGCTTTGCCTACCAGTAGATCACCAGCTCTTCACACAAGGGAGATGTCTCCTCCATGCCAGGAAAAACACTTTCTGCCTCTCTGGCTTTCAAAGGACACATAAGGCCTCCTCCTCTCGCCCAAGTCCTGCTCTCACTCTGGGCTTTCCCCTTCAGATCCGTCCTCCGTGTACATTTCTAGGTGTGCAAAGCATACGCTCCAGGCCACTGAAGGCTTTCTGCTGAGGAATATTGCTCAATAATGAATTGAACTCTTATCTACTCAGAGGTTTCCGTGAACAAAGTTTGTCTCCACAGTGTATTCAGCTTGTATAGCTCCAATTATACTCCCCAAATGTGGAAATCTAGAAGCTATTTTAAAATTAAGAACTTTGTTAAAGAATATTGTTTGCTTAAAGGTTAAAAGCCTATATTCCAATTTGCTATTTCTATAGATCTTTACCTGTTTGTATTAATTGAAACACAAGGGCCTGGGTATCATTTGTCATTCAGAAGCACAAAGAAACACATTTCTGTGTTGGTTACGTTTCACAAAGGCTTAAAAAATGTGCTCAAGAAACACAGTCCTGTCACAGCTGAAATACGAGTCGGCATTATGAATCATTAAGAGGTAGTGCAGAAAGCAATACAGAGGAAAGAAATAAAAGAATTTCAGAACAAATAAATAAATTCAAGTCCCACTTGAAACAAAATACACTGAAGCAACATTAATCAAGGTCTCTACAACTAATTAGCTCTGCGACTTTGTGCAAGACATAATCTCTGGGTATTTATGTACATCTAGAATTATGTATGAGAAAACAGAAGTTTAGAAGTTTGCAAAGTAATGTTAAGCATATATCTTAAATGTTATCATTAACTGAGTGATAGAAGAAAAGAACAGACGGTTGTGCTTAATCACTCATTTTATTCTTAAGATTCTAAGTCTGTTACACAGAGATCCTGCCTGTCGTCACCATCATTCTGTCTCTGGTGTCTAGTGCAGTGAAGATTCCTTATTATATATTTAAAAGAATAACTAAATGAGGTTTAAATATATATCTGCTGTTACTGTATGATTGTGGTCTTGTTTCTGAGATTTTTGTCAGTATAACAAATGCATTTGTATCCCCTCTAAAATTAAAATGGAAGAGGATGATGCCGGTCATGGTTGAGTATATAAAGAGAGAATATTCAGATAGCCATCAGAAATACATTTTCTGAAACATTATAAATTAGAAAATAGGCAGAAAACCTTTGTTATTTGAGGTAACCTTTCATCATAATAAAAGGTTCAAAACTGATTGCAAATCAATTAAGAAAACATAAAGGATTCTTGCTTAATGAAAACACTTTACAAAATTATTTTATTTAAATTTCTCAACAGCTCTCAAAAGATGGGCTACTACACCTTTTCTTGTAAGAAATTAAATACGATGACATTAAATGACTTGTGCAAAATAAAACAAGTTGTAAACACAGTTGAGATTTGAGCCGTACTGCACTGATCCTAGAGCTCTTCGGGGTCGGTACACATCCCACATTAATTAAGAGCCTACCAGCTACTAGATGTCTCACTGAGCACTCTTCGGCTGGGAGGGCCAAGCAAACACTGGCTTCAGCCTTCTCCATCCAGTGTAAACCACAGGATGGAGATTCATTTTGTGAGGTTGGTAAGACATGCATCCAGGGAAAATCACCATCTCTTACAAGTTCATATCTACTTGCAGTGAAAGGGTTGTGTTAAGGAAAACTCCGTAAGAGCAACGTTTGGTGAAAGCCCAGCATAGTTAACGGCATGACTAAAACTATGCAATAGACAGTTGTGGGAAAACGGGCAGAGACGTGAGAACCAGATATAACACAAGTTTTACAAAAGAGCCTCTCAGGGAGGTGGTCATGGGCGATGCATTACGGCCCTTTGAGTCAAGGCCACTCACTCCTCTGCTGCGACAGCCTCATGCTTCGTGAGGGAAGGGGGTCCATTCTGGAAGTACAACCCCACCAGGCCTTCTTGAGAGGGAAAGAAGGGAGCTGAGCTTTACGCGCTTCACCTTTGGCAGAGGTCCAAACTAGTAGGAAACTGAATCATCCAGAAACACTAACTCAAAAACACTGTGAGATTCTGCCAACCTTCATGACGCACTTATTTATAACTTGATTTTATTACCATGGACATAAGCAGAAAACCTCAAATACAGAAGGATGTGTTCTTTCAAAGAAATGAAGAGGCAGCTGGAAAACTTCTCCTCACACCAGGCACACGCGTGGTTGGGGGGCGTTTGTAAGCACAAGATAAGCCCGCAGGTCCTACAGGAGGAAAGCCACTATCCAGTGAGAGGAAGGAAAGCAAAATTCCTGGCATTTCTGGCCTAGAGAGGAAGAAAACTCCATGAAATTAAAAACCCTGGAACTTCAAAAGGCCCATGAATCTGAGCAGAAGAATCATCCACCAAGTTTGCGGCTGTTACTTTAGACAGCAGAAAACACTGCAGTTTCTCTCTCACTGGAACAGGGCTCTAGGTCTCACTCATGGGCACCACCGCCTCCTTGCAGATGTCTGTCACGTTTTGATTGTCACAGTATGGGGAGGTCTGGCTTCTGGTGCCTGATGGCTTATATTTAGAGACGCTGCTAAACGTGCTACAGTTCATAGGACAGCCACCATGACAAAGAATTAAGTAACTCAAAATATCATGCTACCTAGGCTGTGAAACCTGGGAGCGGAAGAAGAATGAGAATCAAATGCCTTTATTTAACAGAGAGCTTCCCAGATTCCTCTGCTGTGCCTGACTCAAACAGGGCCTATCTAGCAAAATTCAAGAATGACCTTGCTTCAAGGTACATCACTTGTCAGCATTGAATTCACACCCTCTTTCATATTTAAAATACACCACTAGTCATTTCTTCCTCAAAAAGCTCCTACAATTTAACAGTCAGGGCATGTTATGACTGTGAAATAGATGCCCCTATCACACTGCTTTAGATGGGGGGAAAAACATTCTGCAGTGTTTATAAGTCATAAAGAATTCTAAATATCTCCCACTCAACACATTCAGGGAAAATGATGGCGTAATTTCTGTGCTGGGTGGCACTCTTTCCTACCATTATGTGTCTTATGAACCAACCATAGGTAATGCACTATCTTCCTTTAATCAAATCTGCATTGTAATTTCTATAAAAAATCAATTTAACACAAGGAGCAATTACTTATTTTTTTATCACAGCATAATTTACTCTCCCTGAACAGCAGCAAAGACATGTGAGGAAGAAATCTCATCTACCTCAGTGTATTTAAATAAAGTATGTACATCTTTAAAGAGATGCAAGGGAAACAGCCAAAAATGCAATATATTATCTCCGTATAATTCCCCATTTACATCAACTTTAATGTGCAATATGGGTAATTTGGCTTACTAGCAGAAGCTTAGGGTTTCTTTTTGAGAAATAATTTTTTTTCATAGTTACTGTTATGGCTGAAAACCTTTTTCAGAGGCTTAGAGTGAAAATATAATTAGATAACAATTTGCTCATCAACCTCATCAAATCAGCTTCATAAATGACCCACTAGGTGTCAAATAAATTTCAGAAAAGCTGTTCATCCCAAGCCTCACAGATCCACCCTTCTTTATATTTCTGTACCTATCTCTGTTCTCATTATTAACTAGCACCTCAGTCTGGGTTTATGTTAGTTTAGGACACTGTCCAGTTAGCTCAGCCTCCTTCCAACTGGACCTTTAGGGGGGCTGGGGATTTAGCTCAGCAGCACACTGCCTGACTGGCAAGCGCAAGGTTGTGAGTTCGATTCCTGGTACCGCTGAAAAACCAAAAAAAAAAAAAAAAAAAAAAAAGCCAAAAACCAACTGGACCTTTAATTTCTTAGTCAATCCATCTTAGCGTGTTAAAACTTGAGCTGTTATAGGAATCACCGGAAAGGCTTCTTAACTGTAGGTGCGAGGCCCCAAAGTTGCATTTCTAGCAAGGTTTCAATTAAAACATGATCAGCAGGTCTGGAGACCATAACTTAAAACTCTACTATTATTCTGACTCAGCAATCTAGACGTGCTCTGATGCACTGTTAGAGGCATAAATTTATGTTCTTTAGCTCATTTTTATGTCTTCAGCCTTGTACCTTATCAGAAAACAGATCTTTGCCCACTGGATGACCTCAATTTTCCCTCCATCCCTCTCCTCCTTCTTTTCCTCCCTTCCTCCTCTCCTGCTTCTTGGTTCTGCTCTTCCTTTCTTCTCTCCTCTTTCACCTTCTCCTCTTCCTTCTCTTCCTCTCCCCTTACTTCCTGTACCATCCTATAACATCTCCAATCCTGACTCAAAGCTCAACTTGGCAAATTATCTCTGATCCACCCCACCTAATATAAATTTGTCCTGTCTATATTAAACCACCCAATACTTATGGATTTACTTTTGAGACGATTCTTTTATTCTCCACTACTCCATGAATTGTAGCATTTACTTCATGAATGTAGCATTCATATATGCTTCCGGTGCACGACTTTAATTATATTACTTATCATGGGCATCTTGGTTCCCGACAATGTCTGTTGGAATGATTAGCTCAAAATCAGTACATAATAAACACTGTTAGGTCAAGAA